CCTACAAAGGAAATTCCAGAGTTTCTAGGATTTACTAAGCTTAGTACAGGCACTAAAATATCAGACTCTTTATGGGACTGAAGAGTCTCATTTCAGCTCCATGCATCCCACCAGTACATCACCACAGAGGCCTTAATGAAATACACCAGCAGTAGAGATGATGTAAATCCCAAACCACCGTTCACAGTTGAGTCATCAGCTATATTATATATATCCCTGAAAAATGTACATTCATAGCACAAAAATCTCAGTTCTGCACAGGCACCAGCAGCATTTTTATTAAACCTTGTTGTTAAATCCTCTTTGCTAAAACAGTAAAAAGTGGTTTAAATTGTGAGGTGGAAAATCTGCAGAGAACTCAGATGCATAATCCAGAGAAGAACAGAACCAGCTTGTCTTATATCACACTGGCAAGTTTATGAAATGATTGCCAGGCTGAAGTGAAAATTAATCTCCCTAGAAGCCCTTTTATTTTTTTAAAAAGTAAACATTGCATTTTAATAACTTTGTCTCTGACTTACGGCCTTGAACTCCTATAGGCAATGACTAGTAAGCACGTGCTTGCTTCCCCTAAGTCATGTCTTGCAGTTTGAAACTAAAACCTGGTGTGTTAATGTTGAATAGAAATTTTTCTCCTAGGCTGCTGTTCTACAAGTCTTACCAAACCATTACTTCTCTGCTATGTTAGGCTGTTACAGGGGAATTACTGTTCCCAACGTGACTCGTCTGCTACTCGTATTATCTGCCCCTTCTCAGACAACTCCAAATCTCCTTCTCACCTATGTGCTAGCAGGATTAGGAGCAAACTGACAGCTTCTGCATTTGCTTGCACTGGTTGTAAAGAGTGCTCACAGATTGCTCCATGCTTAGATCAGACTGTGCATGGATGCAAATATACGCAGTGCTTCCCTTACCTGCAAGACACATCTGCTAACAGGGCGGGTGAAGATCTGCAACCAAATAAAACAATGGGGATTTAGAGCTGAGGGAGTAAGCCCATGATCAGGAGGCAGTGGAAACTGAAATCATAGAATCATAGAATTAAAGAATCATAGAGTCATAGAATGGTTCGGGATAGAAGAGACCTTCAAGACCATCTAGTCCCAACCCACCTACCATGGGCAGGTTGAGCCTCAGGTTACTCAAAGCCCCATCCAGCCTGGCCTCAAACACTTCTAGGGATGGGGCAATGACAACTTTTCTGGGCAACATGTGCCAGTGCCTCACCACCCTCATAGAAGAGAATTCCTTCTTAATATCAAATCTAAACCTGGTCTCTGTCAGTTTAAAGCCCCTTGTTCTATCATTACATACCCTTGTAATAACAATACACGCAGTGCTTTCATACACATCTTCACATCAGGCTTGTGTGGACAGGAGCCTTCAGGGAGAGGGTTTATCTGTCTTCTCTTTAAAGCAACTGTTCTTTAACCTGTTGTGGAAAACAATCAGCATTTTGCAGAAATATGGATTTGGCTTACATTTTCTACCCTAAGCAGTGAAATCATCAGCTAGGTGTCCGTGGAACGCAGTGGCGTCCTCTCCCAGCCCAGTTTCAAAGTTGTTTGTTGTGATGTCTCATACTGCTTTCAGTCCTGGCTTCTAGAAGAGCAGATAAAAGACCCCAGAAGAACTCACATGCTAGTAGTAGTACCACATACTGAAATAGGGAAGTGTTGCTTCAAATACAGGGCTGGAATTATCACTGTGGAGGGACAGGCTGTCCTGTAGACTTCAGAGGTGAAGGTCACTCCTAATCAGGCCTTCCCACACAACATCAGGGCTCCTCTCTGCACTCCTTTCTTGTGTCAGTGGACATTTACTCACACAAGTAATCTCAGTGCTATGGGAATAGGATGTCTTGGGTAAATCTGATTAATCCAACTGTTAGCTGTGTAAAGCCCTGAGCCCCCTACTGCTGCATGAGGGTTAGATTCCCATTGCAGGGAAAGGGCTTGGTTTCCATCATGGCATGGAAATATTCCTGGTCTAAAAGACAGTCCTGAAACATTTCTGATGAATAAAACACAATGATCCCGCCGAGCAAACACTGATGGGCCTGCAGTTTTGTGACAGAATGAGTGAGAAGTATCAGAATACATGGTGGGATCCTTTCCCTGCCAGCAGGACATTTATGATGTACTCACAGGACACAGTTTAAAGTGCAAAGAGATGCTCAGTTACGCAAATCCAGCTGATCTGCAAATGTGGAATTAAGTGCTGTCAGTCTTCACTTACTTGTCTGGCTCTGTGTTATATTTTCACATATACTTGGCTTAAAGATAAAAAAGTAAAAGAGTTTAAAAGAGGGCCTGACTTTGTTTTGCAAGATGGAGGCACACTCAGAAAAAGCAATGATGACACAGTCTGTAGAAAGATTGTTTATCGTAATATCTGTCACTCCTGAAGCCAAGTCACAGTAACTAACAACACGGAATCCTTTAACAGTAACTAACAACCAAGTCACAGTAACTAACAACCCGGAATTTTTTTGCCCCTCTAACAGAGGCATAGCTCAAGGAAAAGGAAAAAAAGCAACTGAGGTTTTTAGACTTTCCCCAAACTCAGCCTCATCTGGTCTAGAGATTACTCATATGACCAACAGAAAGGTTTACCCAAAATAAAACACAACATTTGCATAACAATTAGACAGATCTTTTTAGTGCTTGTGCACTGAAGTGATCCCAAAACATTAATTAAGCCTCACAATGGTCTAGAAAGGCAGACAGTCCAGAGCTTGTTTTACAAGTGGATCAAACAAACAGCTGAGGCTGATACAGCATGAAGATGGAAAGGGAAGAGCCTGGATCTGCTTAGATCTTAGCATAGCACAATGTAACAACAGGTGTTTAATATGCCTACATGCAGCCATTGATTCCTGTTACAATGCAGAACAAGTGCACAGTACTAGAACCACTATTTTAAAGTGTTACCTTTATAGAAGTTGAGCCAGAAAATATAATCTGCTTTAGCACAGAGCTAACTGCAAAACTAACTGCTCATTATATGGTAATGGAACCAATATCTATCAGAGAGAAGATGTGAAACCATAAACAACATTGCAATTAAATAACTCTAAACTGTAATTCAAAAGCATGAGATACTAGATCCTGAAGCAAGAGGAAAAGATCTCTGTTTGGTTGTGGTTAATAGATGTAGGCATGATTTCAATCATGCTTTAAGCCAGAAAACAAAAAGAGCATGCAGGACCAACAATATCCAATATCTATGTATTTTGCCATCAATGTTATGTTTACTATAAAATCTATGCAGGTAGTATTAGAAATAAATCTTACTGATTAAAAGAGTCTAATCCTTTGCTGCATACCTCTAGTTTTACAGTGATGGGTGAGTGAGATCCAATAGGAAAATAATGGTCCTCCCAGCCTCAAAAAGAAAAAAAATTAAAATTAGTAGCTGTAATGTAGGCTCCCATCTCACATTGCATTTCTATTTTGCCTTCTCCCATCTGGGCTACTTTGAGAATTCTCATCAGCAGGAATTCATCCATCTCTGTTCTTTCCTTCCTCCCTGAATTTCAAATTGGGCAGAGCCAGAGGTAAAAACTCCAGCTACAAGTCCAGACACTGAGAAAACCTTCCAATGTGGCTTCACTGATGCACCTTCACCCTGATGCTCACTGAGTGCAACTCCTTTGCAGAAGCTGCCAAGGCAAAGACCCAACTCGTTCTCACTAGTTGCACGTACAACATGCCTATACACCACCTACCAGAAAAATGCTTCCCTCTGAACATTATACTGATACTTGCAAACTCTTGAATAGTGTGTGTGTTGTGAGTGAAAATTTAATGTCTTTTCCACTAAAATAAAAAGGGTTGTCATTGGAAAGATGTAAATGAAATCAAAATGCACTGTGCTAAACACAGGTAAACCACAGGCACAAGACTTCTAGAGCCATCCTTCACCTGTATATGCTGGAAACACACATGGTACTGCTCCCAAACTTCTGCTGGAGATTAAGGGGAAGGTTTTCAGCATGGTGGTGATGCTTCTCTATTAAGAGGCACTAAAGTGGTGACTATTTATGCCAGCTAAGTGTCTGACTCTTGCTTAAATGCCCTCTTCTCAGCAAAATAAGGAAAAGGAGAAAAGAAGAAATAAAGAAAGTTGGATGGGCTATTGGATGGAGGAAAAAAAAGGTGCTCCTCAGAACCAAAAAGCTATAAAGTGCCTGTTTCATCCTTTAGCCCTTCCATGGCAATTATAAGCAGAAAAAAAGCTGTGGAAAGGAGAAGGGAAGGAGAGCTTAAATTTGGATGTTTCAGATTTTCCCCTTTGGAGTGCACTGAAAGCATACTGCAGCTCCTGTAAGGTTTCTATCTGCACACACCATTCAAGGAGCCACAGTGCTGAGGACTGATAGACCTCATCTCATTCTGCTTTTAGTGACATTAGGACAAACAAAGATGGCTCCAAGGAAAGTACTCAAAGGATCATAGTCAACCAAACATACTGGGACGTCTAAAACTGTATTTCAACCTGCTGTGTTGTAAAATAATCAGTAAGAGCATCTGAATTTGGGTATTTGCTTTGGGTATTTGCCATTCAGGGCATGTGAATGCAGAGTGAGTGAAACTTCCACATTGAGTGGTATAATAAAACTTGAGATCCTGTCTGCTTGTGTTCATCACTTTCTTGCTCCATAAATCATACTTACTCTGCAAACCCACTGAATGCTGAATTGTTGAAAGTAGAGACTTCTCTGTGTATAGCTGCTTGCTTGCCAAAAGGCTATGACTGACATCATGGTGAAGGCTGCCCACTGGTGCTACACAGTTATGCTCATGTTTCCTTAGGTTAACTTCATTACAGAAGTAGACTAGTGAGAGTAACACTCTATATTTTAAATATAGAATCCCAGTTCTGCAATGTATAATAAGATCTTTAATATGGAGTGTTTTCACCCCAAAGCCATGAGATTTTAATACCAACAAAAGCAAGAGTCTTTGTAATACACTATATTTTGTCATTTGAATAAACCTGGGGTTTGGTTTACTGATCCAGCTTCAGAGGACTGAAGTGGAGGAAGTTTAAACGTTCCACAGATTCTTCTTCCATCAGCTTTCAAAGCAACTGTGTCTCTTCCCAGCTTCTGTACTTTTTAATTAACAGAAACAATTCCAAAGATCACTCCTGCCACAAATATTGTGTAAGAACATTTGAGTATAAGCACTGATTATTTGTTGGTATACTGCTGCATCCACAGTCTTAAATAATCATAAATAAAAACATCTGTGCTATGCTTTGGTACATTTCTGTCTGTTTAAACCACAGATGAACTTCTAAGTTGTACAAAACAAAAAAATTGCACTTTAATCTTCCAGAGAGTCTTGATAGTCCAACAGACTTTCAGCTGAAGGATTCTTTATTGTACTCAAACCTTGTCCCATAAGAGTTGCTGCTGTTGCTCAGTTTATGAAGTATCTTAGAGATTTTGTTTGGTCCACAACAGAAAACTCCAATGGTTTTCCTGTTATCATAAAAAAAAAAATAAAAAAAAATAGTTATGACATTGTGAATAAACAGTAACATCTAATGATAGACAGAATTGATTCTGGCCTCACTCATACATAAGTCAACTACATATAGGTTTTAAGGTGAGAACAGCTCATTAGGTCATGCAGTTAGAATTACTGAAGCCACCATATTTCTATCAAGTATCCCCACAATAAACCCTATTACTTATCTGACTATGATGACTCTTAGGAAGAAGTGCCTCATCTTAATTTCAAGATACCAACTGAAAAATTATTATTTTCCACTCTATTTTTATTTTCATAATTAATCACTTTTTTGTTAAAAATGTGTCTCACTGTAATGACTTCATTAGTGTAACTTGTGATTTACTCCATCAGGAGATCAAGTCACTAATGGTAATTCGTTACACTAATGAAAACAAAGCACTGCTAACCCGTGATTATTTCTGGCAGCAGCAGAATAATTTTGCTGCTTTACTTTCACATTAGCATGCACTTTTCCCTTCAACATCTACATTGGGAAATCTTATGAGAAGTCAAACACAGAGTACAATCCTTGTTCTTCACCCTTAGGTCTCAGCCTGGGTTCATCAGTTAACCTGACTTTTTCACACCACCCTACTGACAGCAGCTCTTTGCTCTCTGGTCACCTTAAAGATGGCCTGTAAGTCTGGCAGTCATACAACATCTAAGGGCTCAGATCTGTAGCCAGTGACAGAACAGGGCACATCCACCACACAAGGACTGAGCCATTCACAATACTCATCACCTTCCTTTTTTTTGAAAGATGAGAAGGGAAAGGAAGGAGCAGGGAAAGACAATGCAGAGCTGCCTCTTCTACGTCACAAAAAAAAAAAATCATCATCTTCCTGCTTAAATTGTGCCACTACAGAAAAAGATCTTAAAAATTTAGTGGGATGAAGAAAAGGCATACAAGAACGAACATGGTTCTAACTATAGTGATCTACAGCACTCACCAAGAGGTTGGAGACTTAAATTCTGGACCCTGCCTCCAGGACTGACTCAGTATTTTATCCAATAGCTATTTAATATAAAATATTTTAGCACATGCAGGATAATCAAATGCAGTTTAAAGCTCTCTGTGTATGTATTTGGTGAGACAAGGGAATTAACACATACAAGAAGAAATCTTTGATGCATACTGTCAAGTGTACATGCCTGATGTCAGGCAGCTGCTCGAACAGCATGGCAGTGCACCCCGTACCACTGCACAGCAACACTGGCATTGTACAACTCCAGACTCAAACATTAAAAAGCATCACAAAGTTAGGTAGCTAACTGTAGTGGAGTCCTTGTGCAGGCACATTACAATGCTGATTTTAATTGACTTCAATTACATCATCTCTCAATCAATCCATTGCAAATATTTATAACCCATTCTTTTCTCATCCTAATATATATATATATCTTTTAAGCTTTCCTGTCCTAGCAGTACTCCTTTTAATGGTAAGGGATGTTGTGCTGGTGGCTGGATTTGCAGCAATAATGAGAGCACTATTGCTCATCGCTCTCAAATAAGATTTCTCAGCACCTGTAGACTCTGAACTCCCTCTAATCTGTGCACACTGGAAAAAAAGGATTCATGAGCTGCCAGCAAGAATCTGTCTTCTACTGTGTATTTAATTGAGAGAATTAATGTTGTTGTTTGTTTTTTGGGTTTTTTTCTCATTAGTCTAATTAGTACAACCAACTGATAAATCCCAAAGAGTTTGGCTGCCCCTCTCCCTTTCATTACATATAAATTGCCATGAAAATAAAGACATGTCTTAGTAGCACATACTGCTAATGTATTCCTCTCCCAGCAACATCCTTCCAAGGTGCACAGAACTTTGGCTAGTAATCAGAACCATAGAAAGATTAAATGATTTGCCTAAAGCCACAAAAGAGATCTGTGGCTAATAAGGTCTCTGAAGCCCTGGTGAACCACTGCTCGTGTAGCCAGAGGCTCTCAGACTTCCTTCCCAGGATACCCAACACCAGCATGTATTCTGGACATCCTCCCACAGTTCATGGCCCACTTTCTCCCCCACCTCCACCACCCACTTCCCAGTTTGCAGATACCTTCCTCCCTGCCTCGCTTGGCTCCTGCCTGGTTGCTGTGACAGAAGCAGGCAGGTGGCTGAGAGATGCTACTACATGGAGCAGCACTTTACTACCCTGCGCTGATAGGCTTTAATTGTGTTATCACCTGTTTGGGACAAAGGCTTACTTTGTTGCTAGAAGAAAACAGGCAGCTGTGTAATGCTAACTCTGAAAATCTTTATAAATACCACTAACATGTTTACAATTAAGGAATCTATGCTGTAGGCCATTCTTTGCAATAATTATAAATATCAATATAGGATTTTACTCATTCAGAGCACTAAGAAAGTAAAGCTTCAGTGTTCCTGTGGGATGAGTAGGTCAGCACATATTCTTACATCCATTTTATGAACAGCTGGAGGTGAGGGAGAGATGAAATGCTTTGCTACATTGAGAAGATACAGTCAGAACTTAAAAAGATCCTGTTTTAAATCCCATATTCATTTCTAGAGAGAGGTTTATCCTTTATAGCACGAGAAATGTATCATGGTACTCCATGCCTTTCTCTCCTACAGATATTCATGTCTTTTTCTAGGTCAGTCTCCACCTGGAGGACACACTCATTTAACCTAAGCAAAACTGAACATGGTGCCAACTTTTCATCCAGAACACAACTGATCAGGAACAAGGTTGCTGCTCCACCCCCCCGAAAAAGCAGGGAAGTAAAAAAGACCATTATTTTGTTATATTAACAGTCCCAATGCACACTGCTGGGACTGCAGGTGTCATATGAAATATCAACAGTAGATGGCATGCGTCTGCTCCTCTTTTCCAGAAAAAAGGATCAGGAACCTGGTGCTGGGTTGCCCCATGTCACGCTCTGAAGGTCTGGCAAAGCTCAGAGACTTACAAATGCACTTTGCTTATTTGGGACTCAAACAGCAACAACAGCAACAACTCACAAAGCACACAGCAATCAAACGGCTACACTGTGAGAGCTTTGCCAGCTGCCTGTTATTTATATGCAGCTTTTCCTAAAATCACAAGATAAAAACTGGAAAATATCTCAGCTGCCCATAAACAAGCCCAAGGGGATGATTGCAAATGTGAAAGCCTGAACATTGGCACCAGATGTTGGAAACAACTTGATTGACCTGTTTTGTTTTGTTTGGGTTTTTTTTCCACTTAGGTGGAAAGTTACTGAGCAATAGGAACTAAGATAAAGCCAGTAGCAGACCTGGAAATTGGACTATAGAGAAAAACTGAAGTTTCTGTCTCACCCAAGGAAATATGGAGAATAATCACCTACAATAGATAAATTTCTGTGGGACAGCTGAGGTTGTTACAGGTTTCACTACTCTGCATCACGTTTCATGTAACCGTGTCTACAGATACAGACCTGTATAAACCCTGATAAAAGGGTGACCAAGGGTGACAAAGAGTACATCTTAACAAGCTGCAGGTAATCAAAAGAGTCAGAACATTATTTAGGTACTAAAAGACACCTAGTTTGAAAATGGTGGCACAATTTAAAGGCCTCGTGAAAATGCAGAGGAAATGGTTCTTGAAATCTAATTAGGAGTAATGCAATGGAAAGCAAAAAAGAAAAAGCAAGTATGACTACCACTAATAGTTTCATCTATATTATGTGCACTTACGGCCTTGCAAAGAAATGGCAGAAATCATCATTTTCATCTTTTAAAACTGCACTCACACAGTTAAACAAAAAAGAAAAGACATTAGAACAGAGTATAAAAGATTGGCAGTCTTCTATGCAAAGGTCTCTCAGCCCAGAGTCAGCTTGCTTCCATGACCTATTTCCCTTTCTTTCCCATATTTCTTTACTCTAAAACCCTTCTCCAAATGTGAGAATTCTACCAGGGATGTCCCTCTGTAGCAGCCTTTGGGACATCCTGACAAGGGACCCTGTCCAAAACATCCTCTATGACCTGAATCCAAGAAAAATATTGTCAGCAGCTCACATTGCCAATGTGATACATTTGGTACTCAGTATTTCTCAGGAACCAGGGCTCAGTGTCCCCAGTTATATCTGCCCTGAGAAAAGAAGAGTCAATAAGCCATGAACAGATTTCACTTTACAAGTGCAAGAGAAGAAAAAAGTTCTTGAGGGAAAGTTTTGCAGGTGAATATGCAAGCACTTCTCAACCTGATGCACCCTGATTACTATCAATAGCTACTGAGGGTGGATTGCTCCCACACCACAGACTTTGCCAGAGGTGGATTAGGGTCTTCCCTAATCCTTTCTACCAGATCAGCTTTTGAGGCAAAAAACTACCAGTGGGGGATAAAATACTCAACAAACAAAGCTGGATCTGGACAAAGACATTCCATAGTCTAATTGCATGCCTTCTATGTTTTACAACTGTCTTGTTTCAGACCATAACATGCTTTTCTAGCACTAGTAAAAAGGCATTGCCAGGTCTTAACAAAGAATAGAAAACTGCCAGAAATCTTCAAAGACAACGTATTCTCTGAATAAAAACAACACAGGTCAGTCAAGTTCTTCCTTGTGAATTTTGTTTGTAAACTAGCACTATAAATCATGAAAGTTATAGAAGTCAACAACTTAAAAAAATGCAACCTTATATATAAAACCAGCATATGTTGAAAGCAAGACATTGCCACGGACAAAACATAGGGAATCTCCGTGCAGTGAGATCAAAATCTGCTACTTTTGTTTCCTGGGCCACTGAACATAGCTGCATAAAAAACTGAACTGCTCTGCGTGTGTAAAAAAAAAAAAAAAAAGTTTCAGTTTGTACAGGTTACCTCTCACAGCAAAATATTAGTGAATTTCCATATTACATTATATGATAAAACCCAGAAATATCTTCATAACAACATAGCTAGACACAGATATCCCCAGCCATCAAACTGTGGCATCCTTCAAGCAGACTAGTACTTACCGCCTGTTACATTTTGCTATGTCATCAAACAGGAGTTTCCACTGGGGTCGTCCAATCAAAAGCCTGGAGTTTAAAGCTTGATATTTTTCACCAATTATTTTCTGCAAGAAACAAAAAAATTCCACTCTGCCTGATTTGCAAATTGCCTCATATCACCCAGGGCTCCCATTTCTGACATTGGCTGACTTGCCATATTGCTGAGATGTAAAACCTGAGCACAAGTACCAAACAGTTGTGATTAAAACTGCAGCTATTTTATGCTCCAATACTTCTGCTCAGTACCTTTTCAATGGCTCTCCTTGGTGTTCATTATACATTGTTCCTCATGCAGCTGCTCGTTAATTTCCACATTACTTTTAAACCAATTTATTTAAGCCATAAAACAATAACCATGCTTCTATTACTCATTCCCTCACAGGCTTTTAATCCTAAACTGGAAGAAACACTGCTGATACAAAAATCATATTTCTGTCTGAAGTCTTTTTTTTAACTTTGTATGAGTAACTATTAAGATGACTAGGTCTGAAAAACTAACAAGGGAAATCTTACTTTTCTCCCTGAGAGTAGTTTGCCAGCTGTTTTGAACTGCTGTAAGAGCAGAAAGCAGCTAAAACTGCTCCCCAAATGGAACCAAATCCATTCCAGCAATGCTAACTCACCAGCATTTTGATAAAGTGGAATACCCTCCCACTGCAGGGCATGGCCCTTCCTTGGTTTGCTGCCCTAATGCAACAGAAAGGCAGAGAGAAGTTAAATCTTATCTAGGCTCCCACATTCGCTCCTCTGCTGAACAACCTGACACATTGCTCATACCAATGCAAAGAGAGAGCCTTGGCCAACTCATCCACTGTTGGGCTTTTATAGACAGGAGGTACCATTGGGCTTTTATAGACAGGAGGCATTTGCTAGAGGGTGGGCTTGGCTCCCTCTTACCACACAGGTACAGGGCTTCTCTGCAAAGGGATCATGAAGTGAAACTGCCCTATTTTTGGTAGCAGTCAGCACTTTGGACTAACAGTAGTGAACACATCAGCTGTATAGCAATGGAGAGTTAATTCCCCCTTGAGAAATTACGAGCAGCATTATGATTCATGCCAGTATTGTTCAATAGCCATAAAAATAAAAGTGTCTTTAAAGAAAGACTTCAACTAAAAAGTTGATTTAAATAAATTCAGCAGCTGCTTGATCAATAATATTGGAAAACTTCCTTTGAATTGACTATTATTTCAATTTTGCTGTCTCACTGCATTGTAGTCCAGCTTCCACTTTAAATTTTAAGCTAATAATTACATACCAGGTTCATCAATTAGGTATTTTCAAGCACCCCATTTCAATTGACATATGTTGTCCAGACAGTATATTTGTCATAGTCATAACTACAGCAGCTATCATCACATCACTTAGACTAGTCTTCCTACTAAAGCTGTGAATGTTATCTCCACCTCATACTAAGCAGATCAAAATCCTTTGGGCATGGTTTCTCACTGCATTTCATGTTTAAAAAGTAATTGTTAGGCTTGGTTCTGGGCCCCCTGCAGTCACTGAAAAGCTTCCTAACACAGCAGGGTAAAGACTTGTATCTAGGCTTATGTGCTAAATAATGTAAAATGAAGATTGCAAGCATAAATAGTTACACAAGATGCCAAGATTTGGGGAATTATCCCAGCTTGGGGTTTGATAATACATGACAATTGACATTTCAGTATAATTTCCAGGCTCATACATCAAGAAACTTCTACCTTCTGTCTATATTTGAGAGAATGAGATAAAAAGCCTTTTAAAATAGCTAGTTTCTCTCAAAATATATATGAGAAGGTTGAGCTTGCAAGTTCCTAGAACTACTCTGTTTTGATTCTTAGCCCAGAAATGATGTTGATTTCCCAACAAATATTTCCAACTGCCCGGTCTGTGGCCTGGCAGGACCTCTTCCCTAGAAAATGAAGATATGGATTTCTGCCCACACGTAATCAAGTTAAGGGTACCAAACTAGATTCTCTTAATGCTGTAGGGATGGACTGGTTCTCTTTCTCTAGTAATGAATGAGTCATCTGAGTTTATGGCCTCATCTCCTGTTTTTAACATCTGCAGTAATCCCCTTCTACCTTTGACTGACAGTTTGCATTGCCTATTACTCCAAGGTCTAGTTCAGTTTACAAACAACACTTGGCCACATACCTGTATTCCATCTGTTTGACTGAGGTACAGCTGGATATTTATATAGTCTGGCCGATTCTCCTGCCAAAGCTGGAAGGATGATAAAAACAGCTAGTGAAATAATATTCTTTGTCTTAACCTAAGTATGAAGTCACTTGTGCCTACTATGCTGAGGGATATAGGTTTCACCATCAGTGAAGTAAGCTTTTTAATGGAGAAGATATGATTACATAACATCCATTTGTGAATGTTGCACATCATGCTGTGTATATTGGTTTTTGGAAGCCACACAGCTCTTACAATCCACCTGAAATTGTAAATCCCTTTCCCTTCTTGATCTGTCTACAGTCTAAATGCGTAAAGACCACTCAGACTTCCCAGCCTGTGTGTGCTTCTTCAGTCTTAAAAAGTATTATGGACACAGATAAGTGCAACACTGTGCAATGAAATATTGGTGATAGATACTCAAACTGTTTCATGCAGCTCCAGGAATAACTGGAGCCTGACTCAGGCAGCCAGAGCAGAACTACCACTGGAGCTCACTTGTTTTGAGCAAGGCTGCCATTCTCTATAGCGCGTCAGTTGTGTGGTGTGGACATACCTTGCATTTAAGTTGTCAGTATCCCTCCAAACACCCATTACCTTGTTATGCAACATACAGAGCAGATCTGCAAACCAGCGAAAAGACTCAATGTCCCTGCACACCCAAATGAAGTAGAGTCTTCTGAGCTTGTAGCATTTCCAGCCATCCCTTGAAAATAAAATATGTGGGTAATTAAAAATTATCATTTAAAAAGAAACATTAATTAATATGCTTCATATTCCTTAACAGAAACATGAATTTCCATTAAAGGCTAACTGCTAAGTTGTTCTTTGAGCTATGATACATTAGACACTAAATTGATCAATTCAGCCTATTCGGATGATTCTGAGAATATTAAATCTCTAACACAGAGCTAACAGCCATCATAGATACTGTTTCCACACTAGAAGTTGTCAGCAATACAGATGATTTGGGCAGCAAATATGGATTTATGTATCATCACCAAACTTTTATTTCAAGGAAAAGGAGACATTCTGAGTTCAAGTGTATTATGTCAATTCATTACTAGGTTTATAATGCGACCCATAAGCAGAAAGTATTGACAAACGCAATAATGTCAGACTTAATTCTGCCTTTATATGTGAAAGGCTCTGGTTGAATATAATTAATAATAGTAGCAAAATCACAAAGACCAAATCAAATCAGGGCTTCATTGTGTTAGGGGACTGTGTGATATATTACAGAACTTAGGAAATGCTGGTGGGTACAGTGCAGCCATAGGCAGATTCTAGCATTGCATTTACAAAAACAGGACTCTTATGTCAGATTTCTAATTCAATAAAAACACAAATAAGCATAAAGAAAGGATTTGAATGAACTGGGAAATAAAATAGAAATGAAAAATGACCTGATGATTAAGGAGTTCAAATAAAGCACAAATATTCAGGAAGTATTTTCTTAGTTGGCCAACACTGTTTTCTGTTGTTATAATCACTGAAATAGTCAGTGCATAGATTGTTTCCTCCTTTTCCTCTGAAATAATTTTCAGATAGAGAAGGCCACAGCCTGTTCACTTCAAATGCTAGTCATAGGAGCCAAGCCCGGTCAAAAAACTTCCATGATACACTTCACCATACGCATTATGCATTATTCCAAACACCTAGAGTTGGAATATATATAATTAGAACAGTATAGTATAAATAGATCTATTTAAGTGATTGTTCTAACCACTGTTTTGCCTCCCCATACCTCTCCCTGCCCTGAGGAGCAAGGATAGAGACATCAGCAGCACTTCAGCAGCATGGAGAGGCTGAGAACTCACCTTTTGTGTAAATTCCCCACAGTGAGTAAAAAAAAATAAAAAATGCTGTGGAGTACAGTGTCTCTCAAGTCCTGATTTCAACTTTCTTATTTATAAACTGTTGACCTGCCAAACAAGATTTCTTCCATCTCTTTCTGACTGCCTAGACTAAGACAAGCCCTTAGGAAGGGTCACAGTCTGGTCAGATGTGACAGAACTATAAGCAGTAGCAAGCAAAATAAGTGCCTTTCACCATAATAAAAGGACAAAAGAAGATAAAAATGCAAGGCATTTTGTATTGAAATGCAGCAGTTCAATAACAAAACACCACTCATGGTGATGAAACATTGCAGCTGGACTGCAAGACTTCATAAAACAAGTCAAGCATAGATTTAAAATAGCATCTCAGACACATATGCCTGGTCTACCTCCAGCAGGATATATTATGCAGTAAAGGTGCAATCCCCCATTACAACCAAATCCACAGGAATATAATACTTCTTGCATGTATCTGTGTTACTTCTGCCTATAATAAAAGCTGTTATTTACAGACCCTACTGCATGAAAGCCACTAGCTTTCCTTAAAGTATGTCATATTTTCTTAAAATAGAGCATAGGGTTCAACAGCTAAGTGGAGGGAAGGGCAGGAGCAGGAATCAAATTATGTACGTACAAAAGGAACACAATGGAGCAGAAAACAAAAGACCACCTCAAGACTTTCTCAGACCTGCATGTCCTTGACACAACAGCACTGGCCTCACTGTTCTGCAGCGCTGGCATTGTAAGACAGTTTGTTTGTTCATACCTGCCAATTTCTGCCTCCAAGCCAGGGCAAAGACATAGGCAGGTCATCCACTAAAACAGTGTTTTGTTGATGATTAAATACAGAGGAGGGAAGTAGACTAAGACTGTTCCTTCCTCCCCAAATGATTCCCCTATATATTGTATGGTGTACAAGGGGAAGAGTGGTTACAAGGGCAGGTTATGGAATTGGCTCTTTGGAAGCCAATTTATGGCTTTATGTAGATAAATGGACATTGCAAAATCCTTTGGACACTACCATTCTCTGGCAATGTCTGTGCAAGTTCCTACATCCTCTGATAACTGGTAGAGGCAAACATCTCATTACCTGCTGATGGCCCATCATTGTGATCTGTGACATTTTTGCTTAACACTGTCAAGGATAATCCATCACGAGGAAAACAGTAATTTTATCCACCTGAGCCCTAGGCTTTCAGCAAAAATGTACCCTTGTTTTTGGGAGGATGATCCACACATTCTAAAGAAAAGAAAATGAGGAAGCACAAAATGCTCTTTGAGGTTTGCTGCACTATGAGACAGGTGAGGCTAATAACTTTCAGTAACACTTAGCACTGTCAGGTCCAGCCCAGATTAAGGACATAAGAAGGTTCACAGCATCTAAATTTACTTCAGCTTCACTTTGGAGTTACAGCTGATCACTGGCATGTTCATCTTGGAACAAACACTTTAGTTGTGCATTTTAAAACCCTCTCAAAGCCAGTTAGCCTCTCAGCACCTCAGGGAAGGTTTGCTGCTTTGGTTGGTTGTTTATACTGGGTCTTTGAAACAGGGTTGCTTAACCTGTGACTGGAGCTCTTAGCCAATACTCTAACAAATAAAAAGAAATCAATAGCAAACACAAAAGCAAGCTTATTTCACAAAGATTTGGTGGGAACGATGTTGTCAATGCAACAGAAAAACAAGAGGCAAAAGGTTTGATCTGCATAGAATGTCAAAGGCTATAAATTAAAATTTTAAAAAGGAGAGAGAGAAACAAGAAAAAATAAGAAAATGGCATACGTAAAATTTAAACTTTTCAAATGGAGTTAAACATCTGAATGCTATCTGAATTCAGGTTGATCCCTTTCTTTTAAAACTTTAAACTTACGTATTCACAAAAGTCAAACCAGGAGAGCTGGCCCTGCATTTCGAGCAGAAGGACTGTCACAACTGCCTGACTCTCAAAAACTCACAATCATTGTCTGCAGCCTTATCTAAGATCGGACTAGGGGAACAAGCCTAGCTGAAAGACTGTGACTACCTTAAGCACAGGCTAGGCTGGTGGAAGGATAAAAAGGCTAGTGACACTGTCCCAGTCCAGGTGCATTACTGGCAAAACTCTGCCACAACTCTTTGGGTTACACAGGCATTATCAGTATGAGGTAATTTATGCCCTTCAGTGGCATCCCAGTCTTCTACATCTCTCCAAGGAATTATTTGCTTATGCCAGTGGAAGATTTTTAAGACTCTCAAAGTTTTTCTGACACGCACTGCTACTGTAAATTGGGGGGAAATGGCCTTAAAAGGTTTAAGCTCACTTACAGCAGTGTGTTGAGTATTGATGCAAATGGTGTAACTCCAATACCTCCAGCCACGCAGAGACTGACCTCGTAGTTCAGGGCTTCCTCAAAGGGACTTCCAAAAGGTCCATCCACATAAAGTCTGCATAAAGAGCAAAAAGGATACTTTTAGAGAAAGCTGCTAAAATCAGAGAGAGCAAAAGAAAAGTGAGTTGGAATTAAAACCATGGAAAGCTTTATGTGGACAGAAATGAATGTACAGGTGGTATGAAAAACTCTTGTCTTGTTCCATCATTAAACAAGCTATTTTTTAATCAAACAAGTGGAGGTGACCAAATTATGTCTGCCCTAGAAAAAACAACTTGGTGGGTCTATGCAGGATTGAAAAGAATTTGGTTAGGCCTGCCTGCGAGGTTCATCTTATGCAGGTTTTCTGAAGAGGGAGAAAAATTGTCGAATTGTTCCCCCTTGACTCATGCCTCTCATTATTATAACCATTTTGTTCACTTGTTTTCAAAGATTATTTATGAGACTGTGCATACTCTACATAATGAAAGGACACAAGCTTCTCCTTTACAATATAAGCCAGAGAATTAAAGGCAGAGGAGACTTCTCTTTTCCCAGACAGTCTTCCAACCCTCATCTGATTATTTCCTTCTGAGGGCTGGATTGTAGCCATAATTTAACTTCTCAGTCTGATCTCATTTCTTTTAGTTTTGTGGTTTGATCCTCGGCATCATCTTACCAGTCAAGACAACATCTTGTTTGGGGTGTCTTTGGCCAATATGATCCTTTTTAGGAAAATTTTTCCAGACCTCTGCTATTGGTGACATCTCGATGCCTTATATATTAGGCTCCTTCTCCTACAATGCCTTAACTGAACACAGCTAATACCTGCTTTCTGATGGGTGATTCTTAACTATGCCCTGTCTTATAAACTCCTTTCTTGGTGTCCTGCCTGAAGAGAAAGGGAGAAGACACTTGCACAGCCACAGACATTATCAGAAGGCATTGGAAATGCTGGCAGTAAATGTTTTTAAGTAATAAAACTTTATAACTAAGCAATCTGAAACCTAAATATGCTTATTCTTATTTCTGTCTTTTCAATGTCAGGTATGTTAGTTCCAGCATGATGGGAATATTAGAAAAACAAATCCACTCCTTACTTAGGGCAGATAAATTCTTTTGCAAACTTGGGCCAAGAAAAACTTAATTGGCCATGTGTATACAATATAAACAGAACTTTAAGTATTTGTTCATTAAATGTTTCCTGTTACACAATGTTTTATACCACATTCCACATTTGCTTAACAAGGGTTTATTTTCCACTAATGAAATGATACCACTGCTGGTGCAGAGTGCAGCAGCAGCTGCTTTAAGAGAGCTAAATGTTGCACTGTCATTTGACTGAGGAAGTGAAGGAGCATCTATTAGTTAAATAAGCAACAGAGGAAATGTTCAGAAGCAGGTCATTACAGTGAAATAAATCTGGTGCACAGAACACTCTGAAAGAAGTCCATGAATTTTATGGGTCTCAGATGTATATGTAACAGATATAACTGAGATCTAATTTTGGGATATCAGAGTATGTCAAAAAAGAAAAAAACAAACAACAAACAAAAAAACAACAAAACAACTGGATATCAAAGACAGGCAACTGAGGTCCCATATCATTCCTGGCATACCTCTTATACATTTTATCCTAAGTAGAGCGTGCCTAGCTGGTGAAATCTAGAGAATTGGTTCTAAAAGTATGAAGGGCAAAAGCACAAGCCTGAGGGAAATTCCTTGCATTTTGGACAACTAGCACTAACATTTTTTTGTATACACAAAGCCAGCATTTTGAAAAACACAAGCAAACAAGTGAAAAACAAGCAAACAAGTGAAAACACAAGTAAACAAAATAAAAACAAACTAGCAAAACACATTTTTCTAGAAATGATCACAGTGGATGTGACAAGAGTTATATACTGTAGGGGTGCCACTTAGCATAACTGCTTGAAGGCTACCGGAAATATGTATGTCTGATCTCAGAAGGGATTAAGCAATTCCTGGGAAGTCTGAGTGCCACTGAATATTACTGACATGATTAGGAACTGAAGCATGCAAAAACTAGATCTGGTCACCAGAAACTAGTCAAGTACAGTGCATGCCAGAAATCCAAGAAATAATCTTCAATTAAATATGTATTTTGGTCGGATTGCTCCAGTTTGTGGTCCATTAGCCCCATCTGGCCTGCAAAACATGTCTATTTGCCCACTGTGTCTTCCTCTGAGGGAGTGAGGAGCAGTTGCTTGGATAGCAAATGCAGTCAGAGAAGCCAAGAACCTCCTGCTGTGTCTGCATGTGGTTCAGCATAGAACAGCCAGAAGTCACCGCTTCCAAGTGTGAGAAAGAGATATGGGGAAAAAGGTGGAGAAATATTGCTACTGTGTTAACCCACTCCACAAGACTGCTTGAAAAGACTGATTCCAAGGATAACATTATCTCCCTGAAAGATTTTGATGGATGTCATAAACATGCACTATTTAAACCCATTTTAATATGGGAATACTTTAAATCTAAGATAAATGTGGCCCTTATGCCTTAATGGCAGTGGCCATTTAGGAATCGAACCTTCTTTTATTCAAGTCACTGAAAGGAATAAACCTCCTGATGCCATATCAAAAGGTACAGGGTTGAACAGAGCACTGATTTAGTCATAGACTTCTGCAGAGATTATGCAATTTTTGTTTCCTGTCAACATGTTCTTCTTTTCATTTGGTAGGACTGAAAAGTTTTGCATAAATGCAGTTCATTATTGCAAATGAAATCTCACAGCACTCAATAAAAAGACAAGCTAAGCCAAGGGGGGTAAGAAGACTTTTTGTTTCCTGAGTTGTGCCCCAGATATATCACATTACCATGCTATGCTCTCCTATCCTCCCAGCTTTAATTTAATTAACATGAAGGCAGGGAACGGAATTTTACTAAAAGTTTAGAAATTGACCCTTCAGGCAAACTTATTCAAATAATGAGTTGTTCTTTCCACATGTATTCATTTCCAGACTTAGGAGTGCTCTCACTTATTCTGGCACAACTTCTTAGCTCAGAAACAGAAAGAAAAGCTCTTCAAAACAGAATACATCACAAAAAATATCAGAGCACATTATTAAAAAGCATCTTACAGATAGATGGTAAAAATATTTTCTATTTAAAGTACATTTCTGCAGTACAGTGGTACCGAAACGGCCCAGCAAGCACTAAACCAGCTTGTTCCAGTGCTGGGCAATGCAACTGCACTGACATGGGGCTGTCCCTAAACCAGGGGACACTGTCTCAGGGACAAAGGCAGCTGTACTGCTTTTGAGACCCAAGTTATTATCTTCCATAAGGAATTGCACAGTGATATGTGGAGATACCTGCTCACCCCTCTTGGACTTGGATCTCTGTGCTGTGCTTTACTTCAGGGTGTAGGTACCCTTAGAAAAGTTTAATGCTTACATTGTACTTCACTACCCACCAGTAAGTGATGATAACACCTTTTTTTTTCCAGCCTCTCTGGGACTTACTGTAAGATATTATCTGGGGTATTAGTGGAATAATAGATGGATAGGGGAGTTATTTCAAGAAATTGTAGGAAATTTTAATTAAAGAAGTAGCATCATTTGCAAGTTGAACAAAATGCTTGGATATAAAGTACTGTATAGAGCACAATAAGTGAAATCCTAGTCCGGTTGAAGCTTGTGGCAAAGCTCTTACCATTGTCAAAAGAGTAGGGATTTCACCCAGTAGCAGGAGATTTTATATCCTTGGTATTCAGTTCTTACTAAGACCTACATGTAGGTATCATACTAAGCTCTGGATACAGTGAATGAGACACAGTCTATACAGCTAATAGAGCTGAATCCCTCCCAGTTCCTTATAAAACTCCTACATCATTGACTTCAATAGGTAAACAACCCTCCTACCAGGTCTGTTCTTCTCTTTTACTTGTCCTACCAAAACAACAGCAAAGTACTGATAATACAGCCTGAGAACTCCAAGGAACAGAGTGATAGCTGAAGCAATTTCCTTATGTTCTTCTGCTGCTGTAACTCTGATGCACTAGAGAGATGCAATCCCCTCTCTGATAACCCACAATACCAGCCTCCACCCCCACATGACAAATATTCAATAAAGTGCCTCCGTGTTCCACCCACATTTCCCTTCATGCCTGGGAGGGACTCTCTGTAACATCTGAAGAGCTATTTCATTATCTCCCTTCAAATTCCTTCTTAAGACTCCTCTTTCCTCTGATAGCTGAAAAAACAGGCTACTGATGTGCTCACTGTAGCTTAGTGATATTCTGGCTCAGTACTGTCTCACTGTTTCCCTGAATTTTGCTGTCTGACTGTATCCATCTGTTGTCTCCTGTTTCTCCAGTTTAAGTTGGTTTGCCTCTCTGCTGTGTGACTTTGTCTATCATGATGGCTTCCTGATGGTAGGGCTGCAGAAAGCAAAACTGACTACTGCAGTGCTCTAGAACAATTTGGAGTCCAAGGCTCAATTCACAGGTTTCAGTAAAAACCTAGCTACAACAAATTACAGGAGCTTATTTTGCAAAGAAACCACACTTACTGCAATCAGAGATTTTTAAATATTTTCTGAAGCAAGAATCAAGACAGCTACTTCATTTTTAAGTCAACATATAATACTTCATGTCATTATTTAAGCATCAATATATGAGTGTAGACTCTGACACTCTTTTTCCAGAGGGGTTGTGATTACTGACAGCATTTCAGTATCAAAAGCCTTTTACAGAAGAAGAACCACCACTGAACAAAGCACACCATCCTTGGTTCATAGGGATTTCCAAAACTACAATGGCTTTCAAGGTTTAAAGGTGTCACAAAATGTGACATCTGGCACGTGAGATCAGAGATTCCCATGTGTTCTCCTGACATTGTGAAGGATGATGTTTCCATTAAAGAAATCAGCAGCCCCTTAGACAAGTAAGACTGCAAAACCCAGTGGGTCCAATTAACTTTACATACTATTTTATGCAAGATTGAAAAGGGTTGTGATTCTAATTCAGGTTTCATTAGGCATCCTCTTCTGATTTTTTTAACTGCTCAAGTTTAATTTCTGATTGATCATTTACATTTTTCTCTTGAACTTCAA